CGCAGCTGTGAGGTAAGGAAGACTTTTAAATCCTCATTTCACCCAGGGGGATAAGTGACAGATTACATGATTTCCAACAATTCTGGGATACCAAAAAGCTGGGCTTTGAACCACATCTCTTGAGCAATGCCTCACTCACGGAGCTGAAGGCTAGAACTTCTCTCAGAAGTGAGCTAGCTTCATTCTGTTGAATAGAGGAGGCCAAGGCTTGGTTTGTTTGTTCCTTGAGTGAGGACCACATTCTAATGATCTGAAGGTCTAACCCGAGTAACTCCTGATGAAAGTGGTCAAGACATCCTTGTTTATCCCATACCACCTGCACAAGTTATTCCTTTTGCCTCAGGGTGTGTGTTTAAAGTGCAAGGTGACTCCGTGGAAAGGGAGAACTATATCACAGTGGCCAACTTCCTTGGGTCTCTAGTGGGTCTCCAGTGGTCCAGTTCCTCCTCTTTGTCATCTTCCTGGCTGTCTATGGAACAACAGTGCTGGGCAACCTCCTCATTGTGCAAAAGACTTCCTGCAGGGAAGAAGGCCATGTTGACATCTCTTCTAAGTCACTTTTCAAGGCTGGTGGCCCTCTCATCCCAACTTAGTTACTCTACTGTAGAGAATTGTATGTGAGAAACTAAACTGGAGGCTCACCAGGGTGAGGGCAGCTGGATGGAAGTATGGGTTGAATTTCAAGTACAGCATCCACAGTACAGAATGGTGGAGGGGGTGGGAGGAGGGATAATGGACCCTACTTTCCTTTCATACACACCCCACAGAGAAGATTCCATCCTCTCCAACCAAGGATGCCAATTGTCAGTAAATTTACTGACTGTCAGTAAAAAAATCAAGTGAACAATGATTGCTAATAAAGGCCATAAAAACCCTTAGCTGTCAGTAAAATGACTGAGTAGCTACACCTTGACTGAAACTCTGGCAGACAGAGCACAGCAGTGCCATTTGGAGCACAGCACCCTGCAGAGAGCATTCTCTCAGCCACATGCTGCTGCTGTGTCCCAGGCTGCCTGTAAAACTGCTGGGTCACAAGTAGGCTTCTTGGCAGGGAGGGGCACAATGGTACATGGTACTGTGGGGACATCAGGGTGTGAAGGGTGAGTAGGAGATTCCTGGCAGGGAGGAAGCACAGGATAAAAGCAGGCTTACCAACCCAAATTTTGTTTTGTACTGCAAACTTTTTACTGATTATCCAACTTTTTTACTTCTTTACTATGGTGGATGTTACACTCCAGATTTGACCACAGCCCTTCTACCTGAGGCCTGGTAGCAGGGCCTTGCAGGAAAGTTACATTTACATTATATAAAACATATATTGGTAAAAACTTGTGTTTAGCAGTCAGTCTAAAGCTTGTAAATTGTGAGTACCCACATTTTCGGGGCGTTGGCAACCTTGCCTCCAGCAGGGGTCAACATGTATGCTGATATGCACCATATACACAGAAGGAGGCAGCAAGGACACACACACATGCATACAGAGGACTCATTCCCTTCAGCAGGGCGTAGCAAGTACAAGCACACATGAATGCACAGGCATGTGAAAAGAGAACACAAAGTCATTTTTAAAAAATGTGAAAAATTCACATGCCAACTAAGTCACAGACAGAAGCATGCAACCATCCATAGGCAGAAAAACAAAAATGGACCTTGCAATTCCACAAGCTGGCATGGAAGTGTCACACTCATTAGAGCACACAAACATAGACAGATCATCACAAAAGCCCTTGTCAGATGTTCAAACTAACACACATTGAAGCACACAATGAGTTATCCCATATGGCCACCAAAAAGCAGCAGTGTTTAAACACATACCATCCAATGCCACATATACTCGCCACCCCCCACACAGATATACATATAAATATGCACGCAATTCTCTTTTAAATACACATGTGGATGTACAGATCATTGCACAACTAATACAGGCAGAACTCCATTGTAGGAGACTTGGCTACATGCTTTCTGCTTTTGTTTCTTCCAGCCCCCAGGGTTCAACCTCAAACTTTTCCTAGCTCTGCTCCCTGTGGAGGAAACCAACTTTCACTTTTAATAATTGCCTTTGCAACCTGCCTCCTAGCTGCATGTCTCCTGAGGTCCCCCAACACCCAGCCTGCTCCAGAACGTCCAGTGTCAGCCATGGAGTGTGTAGCCCTGGACCCAGAGAGATTATATCTTCTGGGGTTGTGATAATGCAGGACTTGGAGTGAAGGTGCCGATTTCTTCCCGTTGCAGTGGGTAGGTAGCTGAGGATATTTGGAAATCCACTGTGTGGGGAGTCTGATCCAGCCCTTTCTTAGTAGATACTAAGACAAGGCTCTGAAAGAAGCTTCTCAGAGTGAGGGCTGAGGACTGGAGTGAGGAAGGGCTTCAGACTTTGGACCAAGGGGTTTCTTCTCTATGTAAGGACCAAGTCAAGGCTTTAAGATTTAGCTCCCAAACAGTTTTGCCATAACAAAACATATCTCATGATCAAGGCCCTCAGAATGACTGGGTAAACTCTACAGGGAAACAATAGAAGTAAGGACTGAGATAGGGCTTTGCGACATCTTGGATCTCAAGTGCATTTTGGCAACTCTTGCAGTGGTGGGCCACTGACAGTCCTCATCCCCCTGCTTTACCTGTGGCAGGTTAGGGTGCTTTTGGTGGCTTTGGGCAATATGCCTTGTATGTGTATGCATGGCAGGGTTAATTGGGCAGTTTTAGGATTAGGTTAGACAAGAACTTGAACGGGATGATTCAGATACAGATAATCCTGCCTCAGGCAGGGAGTTGAACTAGCTGACCTCTGGAGGTCCCTTCCACCCCTATTTCTCAATGATTTTCTACTTTTCTGTGCTGCTCAAGAGAAACTTAACTTGGGCAAGAACAGAGTAAGATGTGTGTAAAGTTTTAAGATTTTGAAAGACAATTTTGCTCAAGTTAGAGGACTTTTAGGGGTCTGAGTAAGGGCCAAGTGAGATTCAAGTAAAGAACAGAGTATAATACCTGAATAAGGGCTAAGAAAGATGCGGGTAAAATACAGGCCTGAAATAAGGAGTGGGGAAAAGCTGATTAAGGAGCCGGTATGGACTTAAGGTTCTAGCCTTATATTTTCATTAGAACAGTTTTGAATGTTGCCCTTTTCTGGCCCTTTATAAGCATCTGAACTGGTGGTGCTACTCCCTGCTCTCAGGTGAGTCAGTCTCACCTGTTTTGTAGCACGGAGCCTGAGCCAAGTCTGCAGCAGAGCCCAGCTGAGGACCTATGCAAAGTAGGCATCCTAAAGAAGTGCTAATGTGCATGCATTCATAGCTTGCAATGATGGCGGGTTTCTGGGAGGGACTGGGCATTTTGGGGTGAGGTGGAAACCAGGTAAAGATGGGCATTTTGCACTAGCAACAGAGCATGGGAGATGAGCTCCCAAGAACTGCAGTGATGAGTCCCTGCATGGGATCTGGAGGGTGCCAGGAGGTAAGTAAAAGTGGTGTTGCAGAGGGATGAGAGCAGAGGGATCTGATCCTATTATATCTGGAAAATGACTCTGCATTTACCCTGGGAACGTGGGATCAAAATTGGGCCCTGACCCTGTTGCAGTTAGTGCTGGATGTTCCCCTATCCTGGGAGGCGGCTGAGCTCTGACTCCAGCCTGATCCAGCGTAGTCATGTGTCATCTCTCCGTCTATCTCCGTTGTCTCTGTATGTTTGTAATGGTTTCTCTCTCCCTGTTTCTGTCTATCCATCCCCTGGAGCTTGTCTCCACTGCTTGAAGCCAGGGTTGTAAATACTAGGCACAATGTTGGCATAAGAACAAATGGGGGTGAACTGGTCAGGCATCTTTAGAGGGTTTCTCTCCATCAGAAGGAGGTTCTGTTACAGCTTCCAAGTGGGAACAAGAAGCGGAGCTCGTTTTAAGAATGACCTTGATCAGCATATAGAAGACACTGTACATGCGGTGCCTATGATAGCAGGGACCAGGCTTGATGACTCAAAAAGTCCTACCCAGCCCTGTGTTCCTAAAAGTGGTTGTTTTTAGTGCTGAAAAAGTCTCATTTTTGTGCTTCAGGGTAGCTAAGGTGTATCACCTGTTCCTGAGGTACCATGAGAACCAGTGCTTTCCTAAATTGGCTGCATTATATCTATTTTGGAAGGCAGCCCACACCGAGCAGGTCTGGTTTGGGTTATTGAGGCATCCCTTGGAGCAGTATTGGGAGGCTGTAGACATACCCTAAAGCATCTTGGCTTCCCTGCCTCTTCGGCTCAGGGTAGATGATGTGTGATGGTTGCCCCAAAGAAAACATACAGCTCCTTCTGCTCTTATAGGATGGGCATGGGCAGAGAGCTCCCTTTTGTTTTACGCTAAACTGGAAATAAGATGCCTTTCTGTTCAGGCATAGACTGTCTCTTCCCTTTACTTCCCTTTCAGTAATGTGGGCAGATCTCCTTCTCTGTCTATATATCCCTATCTGTACTAGTGTCCTGATATAAAGCATCAGCACCGCAGACAATGGTGGGATGGATAGATGAGATGGACAGATGAATACATTAATTTATGATCCATTCCTCTACCCTTGGTACTTCCAGTGCATCAGTTAGTTTGTATTATTTTACTAAAGACAGTTATTATTCCTTTTTCCCACCCCTCCCATCTCCCTCTCCCTCCTATATTTCCCCATCTTTTCCTGCCAACCCCATCCTATCCCAATGACCCCATTCCAGCTCATCTTAATGACCTCCTTTCATGCCATTGATCCCAATCCCTTCCTTTGATCCTGTTCCATTGATCCCGATCTGTTCAAATGCTCCATGACATTTTCCTCATCTTAATAACCCAATCTCACCCTCATGACCATGTCCAATTTGTCTGTTTCCACTGATGTCTTCCCGTCCTATTTTATTTGACTTATCCCATCCAAATGATTCTCATCCTATTCCATTCACCTCATACCATTTCTTCCCTGACCTACCTCTCTTCTAATGTTTCCATCCAAGTGTGCTGCAGCAGAGCATGCACAGAGAATATGGAGAACAGCACAGGGGTGACACAGTTTGTGCTGATGGGTCTGTCCCAGCGTCGTGAGGTCCAGCTGTTCCTCTTTGTGATCTTCCTCACTTTTTACGTCATTGTGCTGCCTGGAAACGTCCTGATCATCATCACCATCCGGGGTGACCCCAACCTGACATCGCCCATGTACTTTCTGCTGGCCAACTTGGCCTTCCTGGACATCTGGTACTCATCCATCACGGCTCCCAAGATGCTAGTGGACTTCTTCTCTGAGAGGAAGGTGATCTCCTTCGGCGGCTGCATTGCCCAGCTCTTCTTCCTGCACTTTGTGGGAGCAGCAGAAATGTTCCTACTCGTTGTCATGGCCTATGACCGCTATGCCGCCATCTGCAAGCCTCTCCACTACACCAGTGTCATGAACAGAAACCTCTGCACTGTCCTGGTGCTGGCATCCTGGGCTGGAGGCTTCATCCACTCCCTCATCCAGGTGGTGCTGATCATCCGCCTACCCTTTTGTGGCCCCAATGAGCTGGACAACTTCTTCTGTGACATTACTCAGGTGCTCAAAATCACTTGTGTCGAGACCTTTGCAGAAGAGTTAGTGATGATCTTCAGCAGTGGCTTGATCTCAGTTGTCTGCTTTGTGGCACTGCTGGTCTCCTATGCTTTCCTGCTCTCCATGCTCAAGAAAAGTGCTGGTGACAGTGCCAACAAAGCCCTCTCTACCTGCTACTCACATATCACCATTGTGGTCTTCATGTTTGGGCCCTCGATTTACATCTACGCCCGCCCCTTCTGTGCTTACTCCCTTGACAAGGTGGTCTCAGTTTTCCACACTGTCATCTTCCCCCTCCTCAATCCCATTATCTACACTCTGAGGAACAAGGAGATAAAGACAGCCATGAGGAAGCTGGCCAACAGATACGTCCTCTGCAAGGGGCACGGATGCTAGACAGTGGGGGTTGGCATCCAGGCACGGAGACATGCATCCTGAAATACTCTGGTCCCTTGCATTCAGACAAGTGGAACTGCTTACTAGTATTCTTATTTTGCCACTCAGCCATGTTGGGTGTATCTTACTCCTCGAGGTCTTGTGATGAACTTGTTGTAAATCAAGTGGAGTGAATGGACTGATTTCTCCCTTTACCCATTCCATTGTAAATCAGGAGTAGCAGCCAATCGTGCAGAAATTATAGGGCACAAAGGAGAATGAGGTCAAATGCATTTTTTTATGGAGTAGGGTACTATACTTACAGTGTAAGGATGGCAGTGCTTCTCATGAAATCAAATAGAATGGACTAAAATGTAATGCTGGATTCTTTCGAGGGGTCTAACAGAGTTAGGAACCCCAGTCCTATTGAAATTCACTGGGATTTGGGTAACTAACTCTGTTAGGTTCTTTGAGAGAGCCTAACTCAGGTAAAAAAGGATGGGGAAGAGTAAAATAAAAGAATATTGGTCAACCTTTCTCACTCCAAAGGGATTTTATTGTTTTATATGAAAAAGCAGTTATTTTAGGGAAAATGAGAATTGTCTTGGAAATGTCTGCTTTCTTTCCATGTGAAAAAAATAATCTTTAAAATCTGATTTATTCATTTTTTTGAGAAAAAATTTCCACACCAACAATAAGAGCTGGAAATTCTGTTAGATACTTATCTTCATCTTTAAGCCCAATGTATATTTAAAAGCCATCCCATGTACTCTCTGTGCCTCAGTTTACCCAGCTACACAATGGGGACAATAATACTGCCTTTCTTAGAAGGGCATTGTGGGGACAAATATATGGAACACTGGGAAGCACCAAAACACTGGAGGAAAGTGGACCAGTTAAAACATATATGAAAAATATCTATATAATGCTCTTCTATCTACACAAGATGGGATAGTACAGGGAATCTCCTTTGTCTTTAGCATGCTTGAGGTGGCAGGGGTGCAAAATTCCAAGCAGTGCAGTGCAATTGGCACTGGTGAGAGGATATTCTGGCCCCCACCTTTTACTATCTTACAATATGTATTTTTTAAATCATGCATTAAAAGGATTTCCAACAAAAAAATGACTGTGAATTGAATACACCAGTATGTGAGGGAAAAATATCAGATTGGGAAATACCACATCGGGTGTGTCTACATAATGCAATTAATGAGAAACAAGAAACTCCAGAGTAGTTTCAGCTGGAGTAAACTACCCCTGGGTGCAGTGTTTACATGTGCGCCTGGGACAGCGGCAATTTGAGCTGGGTCAGAGCAGGTCTGGGCTGGCAGGGGGCATGGTGGTGGGCTCCAGGTGGTGGCAACAGGGAGCAGAGGTGCTGCCTAGGGCACAAGGGTACTGAAAGTGTGGAGCTATGTGTGGCAGACGGGAGTCTGGCCCCCAGTTAGCTGGGCTGACTGCATGCAGTTTATACCCGTGGTTAGTGTCTACACATGCATATAACTGCAATAAATTACCCTGGCATAAGATGGTATTGACCGCAACAGTACTATTTTACACGAGCATAAATTAGATTGCTACAGCCTAATTTCCTTGCATGTGTAGATAGTGACACTTTCCTTTGCAGCCAATTCGTCTACTCCGCACTAAAGTGCACGTGTAGACGTGGCCATTAGGATGAATATACTTTGGTAAACAGAAAAGCTGTCGGCAGTCAATACTGCCATTAGTAGGGTTCAGAGTGAATAGTCCACCAAGACAAATGGAAGATGGTTGTGTGTGTTTGGGTTGTTGCTACAGACTATTGAAAGGCTCAGATGCCCCCATCACTGCAGTGGTTGCACCTGGACTACATTTTGAAAATTTCCTTTGCAAATGGTATGTGTAGGAACTGTGAGCCAGAGCCCAGCTGGTGCATATTGGCTGTAGCAACATCAGGGTTAATGGGGACAGATCCCCACCTGATGTAAAACAGCACAACACCAGTGCAGTCTGTTGAAGCAGCAGTCGGCCTTGTGTCTGGACTATTAACCCACAGCTACAGAAAGAGCTAGCAGTACCTGCCGCATTCCCTGCTCCTTGTGCTCTGTCCACATGCAGAGCTCAGAGCTACACCTCCACATTGCAGCCTGGCACAGCACAGCAGTTTGCTTGGACACTTTTGGCAGCCAGACTCCCCTGTCTGCTAGAGCCCTGCCGACAAACCCCAAGAGGGCTCACTCGCTTCCCCAGCCTATCCAGCATCCTTAGGCATTTATGGAAGTCAGCTGGCATACGGAGAGCTGGCTGCTGGGTCAGAAATGACATTGGAGGGGAGGGAACTGCTGGAGATGAGTTTCTGGCTCATTGTTTCTGATCCTCTGCAACTACCCAAATGAGGTGAGCTCAACCTGGTGGGATCTCTCTCAAAAATATCTCAGCTGCTTTCTTCCTCATCCTTCCTCCTGCTCTAGCTATTCATCTCCCTCCCTCAAACTGCTAACATTTGTCACCCTTCTGCTTAACTGTATGTTTTCTCTCTATCCTTCTCTGTGTCCGTCCATCTGTCTGTCTATCGCTGAGCCAGTGTGGAAGGAGCCGGTCTGGCTGAGTGGAAGGAGCTGATCTGGGGGCCAGGAACGAGAAGCCCATACACCAAGGAGCCTGTCTGGGATGGGGGAGGAGGGCAGGAACACTTGGTCTGTCCGATCCAAGGAGCTGACTGGGAAGGGAAGAGGAAACGGGGCTGGCCAGGCAGGAGAGCCCACACTAGAAAGAAGGTGGTCTGCTGTGTTGCAGGTATTGCTGTCCTTATACACATCTGTAGTTTTGTTCCTTGTTTTGGCTGAGAAGAAAAGAAGCCCAACGGCTTCCTCACTAGGAGATTTGGGTATAGCTCCAGCTTCAGCCACAGACTTGCATACTCTTGAGCAAGTCTCAGTCTCTCTCACTCTCCCCAAAAGCAGAATGGGATCATGACACTGGCTGGTGAAGACTGGTGACAATAATTACTGTAGGACCACAAAGGATTCAGGACTTCTGGTAATGGGGGAGCCACATCAGGACCCTGATAGATGGGTTTCAGTGTTAGTGCTAGTCTCCTTGCTGCGGACCCTGTGCCTGCTGCTGCTGGAGTCCTCTGGCATGGGGCTCAGATGTGCTGCGAGTGAGATCGCGTCCTGAAGAAATCCTTGTTCTGAAGCTTTGCAAAAACACTGCCTGTCTTTGTCTGTCTCATCATCATTTTGCATCTCCTCGTTATGCCTCAGACCTCCTGTTTATGTCCATCATTTTCCTCCTTTTACATGTCCACATATACAGTTTAATCTCTTCTTTTTTTTCATTGTGGCTTTCTGGCTGTCAGCAAGACTGCAGTACTGTAGAGATAACTAATAGCTGTCTAATATGGAGCACTATGTGAGCACAGCACTTGCTTGGCTATTACCTTTGAGAAGCCCTGGAGCTCAGGTGAGATCCTGCATGACTGGAATGGTCCAATATAATGCCCATCTTTTAAAAGGGGGACAAAGATGATCTGGGGAAGTAAAGATCCGTCAATCTGATCTTCGTTCCCAAAAAGAGTATGGAGCAGATCATCAAGGAATCTATTTCTAATGGCCTAAAAGATGATCAAGAACAGTTAATACAGGCTTATCAAAAACAAGTCAAGCTCGGCTAACCTGACTTCTTTCCATGACAAGATGAGGGGCTTTGTGTAGTGGGAGAGAGCGGTAGATGTGATGTATACCTCAACTTTAGCACAGCTGTTGAGACAGTCTCTGATGACATTCTCATTTGCAAGGTAAGGAAATGCAGTCAAGCTTAAATGGTTGTAGCGGGGGTACATAACTGATTGGAGCATTATGCTCAAAGAATACTCCTCAATGACTTAATGTCTGATTGAGAAGTGGTAACAACTGAGGCTCCTTAGAGGTCTTCCATGAATCTGGTAATGTTTAATATCTTCCATAATGACCTGGGTGCTGGGATTGAATGCATAGTTAGCAAATCTGCAAATGACACCAAGCTCAGTGGAATTTGAGATACTTTAGAGGACAGGAATTACTGCGCAGTAGCGTTGCCAAACGGCTTTTAGGTGACGTGGCTCATTGCTACTGCACTGTAGCATCACATCATGACTCCTGCTACGTGACACTACTGCACAGTAGTCATCGAATCATAGAAGTTGGGTTGGAGGGGACCTTATAGATCTTCAAGTCTGACCCCCTGCCAGGGCAGGAGAAAAAAAAAACTGGGCTCAAATGATCCCAGCCAGGTAGGCATCAAGCCTCCTCTTAAAGACCCCCAGGGTAGGAGCCGGCACCACTTCCCTTGGAAATTGGTTCCAGCTCCTAGCCGCCCTGACCGTGAAGTAGTTCTTACGGATGTCTAGTCTAAACCTCCTCTCCAACAACTTGTGGCCGTTATTCCTTGTTATGCCAGGGGGCGCTAGGGGAAACAAGGCCTCTCCCAAACCCTTCTGGTCCCCCCTAGTGAGTTTATAGACTGTCACCAGGTCCCCCCTCAGCCTTCTCTTGTGAAGGCTGAACAGGTTCAGGTCCCGCAGTCTTTCATTGTAGGGTCTGCCCTGTAGTCCCCGGATCATGCGGGTGGCCTCCTCTGGACCCTCTCCATGTTGTCCACATCCCTCCTGAAGTGGGGCGCACAGAACTCGACACAGTACTCCAACTGCGGCCTGACCAGTGTTGCATAGAGGGGGAGGATCACCTCCTTGGCCCTGCTCAAGATGCACCTATGGATGCACGACAAGGTCCGGTTAGCCCTGCCAACCATGACCTCGCATTGTTGGCCCATGTTCATCTTGGAGTCAATAATGACTCCAAGATCCCTTTCTGCCTCCGTGCTCTCAAGAAGGGAGTTTCCCATCTTATAAGTGTGCTGCTGGTTACTACTGCCCAAGTGCAGCACCCTGTAGTAGTGACGAGCTACTGCTCGGTCAGCATGCTGCGATCTATCGCATGTACAGAATCTCTCGCTCTGCTCCTCCCTACGTGCTTATTTTTAGTTTTGTCATCATCTGT